AGTCTAATATATATCTAACAGGCCTTTGCTAGGGTGCATTTACACTATACATTTTGTGTAGTTTGACACCATTTGATCTGCCAAGGCTCAGTGCTATGAAATTATTGCAGCTGTAGTTTTACAAGATCTTTAGTCTTCTCTAAATGTTTCTTAACGAACTGCAACTTCCAAATTTCTATAGTATTTAGTCATGGCAGTTAAAGTGGGACCAAACTGGCTTGTCTCATATTTGGAAGTCCACCCCAGGGATTTCATCAGATGGGCAAAATTGCCTGTTCTGTGACACTTGGACCTCTCTTCAGGCACAGAACCCACCAGTTTCCATCACATGACGTCAATCTACTTCCAGTGGGGCTCTGTGCCTGAAGAGAGGTCCAAGTGTCACAGGAGGCAGCACCAGCAACACAGGAGGCTTTCTATGCTCCATGCAACAATGGGGGGAGGCCAGGCGGTGAGATGAGGGTTGATGCTGGATTTGCACAATCCATGCCAAATCCCTTGTTGCCAATCGGATAGGTGACCTCAATGTCCTGTCTCAGTTACAGTAGATCTATTAAATCCATGAGATTTCCCTAAGTTTTGACTTGCTTCTCAGCACCTGAAGTAACAGGTCTTGTCTAGATAGTATGAAATTGCTGTGCTGTGAATTGGCCATCTAACACTAAGCAGACACTTCAGATTCCTTGTTATCATCATGGACCAAATGCTAATTGCTCTCCAGTGGGATGGAAAGCAGTGATTTGTATTCATGTTTTTGATTTTAAAAAATAGCATTAGTTGGTAGTTTGGGGATGGGAAAAGACGTGAAGCCTGAGAATGCATTATGGCCATAGATTTTAACTGTTGTTTACATGATTACACCATTCTCATAGCTTAGCTTGAGAGAAATTGGTCAGGATTACATACTTTTTTTTCTTTGCTTAACCATGTGCCACACCAGCCCAGAGGATCAATAACTAATTATGAGGGATTGGCTTACTAGCCAAGGATAGTCTGGGTAGAATTAATATTTAGAAATCCATTCTACTGTTGACTGCGAGGGGCTGGTGGACCCCATAAGTGAAAAGGCTGGAATGGTTATCTGCTATGTACCATCTCCTGCATCTTTATCACCAAAAAAGAGCTTATTTTATAACTGTTTGATACCAGTGTTTGGTACCACAAAGTCTAGAAGGCCTAGAACTACACCTCGTTCCAGTATAGAACACAAGGTTTCTTAGATTAGTCAGACAAATATTAGTGTTTTATAGGCAAAATTAAATGACTGAGAGTACAGTTTTATGAGCGTTGATAGAATATCATTGCAGTCATAGAGTGCTGCTACATTTCATGTGTTTGAGAAGTCCATCCTTTGTGGAAGAAAGGGCAGCATGTTGGCCGCTACTTCAACAGTCGTGAAAGCAACTGGGATAAGGTAAGGATGGTATTCTAGTATTATGCCAGGGATGGATTGATGGAAGTACTGGATATGTTGGAACCAGTGCTTCCCCAGTCTCCAGGCATGCTTCAGGACAGACGCAAAACTCAGTCAGCCCCAGTGCTGATGTAACTGGCTTGCCCCATATTTGAAAGAAATGTGATGGAAAGGATAGAAAATAGGGAGAAGCACACATGCAGCCATGTAGCATGAGTATAGCAGGTTTTTTAGGAGGTGGTAGTTCCTCTCCACAAAAGATAATTTACACATTGCTTTGTAAAAGGGATTGGATCATACAAATGATCAAATTTCCTCCCTCTTTATAGAAAGACTAAAAATTGACCATAGAATTGCACTGGAAGGCCTAGAGCTTCTTAGAGAAGTATCCCTCTAGGAATTTCAGATACTATATTATCCAGTGACATAAAGGAACCAAAAGACAGCATTAGACAAAACCATGACTTTAAAAAATTTAAAAGTATAAATAAAAGTTGCAACACCTACATTCATTCCTTTCCATTCTTTCCAGACTCGTTCCCCCAAAGTAGCATTTATTACAATTTTTCAGAATGTATGTGACCACGCACTCTGTCCCTGAGCTGCTTAAATTTCTCAATTCTTCTTTCCCTCCCTCCCAACGACTGCCCCACTTTTGCTGGGTTCTCTGTCACTGGAAACATCTTAAACCAATTTAAAGTGCTACACCTGAATAAACATGTTGTAAAAGTGTTTATGTATCGAAGTGGGTCAGTTCAAGGTACGGTATTTGGCTGCGACTTCTAATTTCTCTTTTTTACTGCGAAAGGGCTGCCAGGAGGAGGAAGTCTGAGCTGAATTAATACATTTGTTACAGGGGAAGTAGAATGGAAACTGCCTTGACCACAAATCAAACTGCCCTCTTTCATTTATGCCAATGATAGGGTTTTTTCTAAGAAATATAGTCCCTGGCAGAAAGCCACGGTAAGTTTGCCTTTAAAAGGAAAACCTATACGCTTATTTGCTTAAGGTTTACCCCATGGTTATTAGTAAGTTCTTTCTGTAGCTGGAACAGAGCTGAATGGCCCATGTACATTTGCAAGGCAGATGCTTCTATTGTTGTACAGTTTTGACAATTTCTCTCCTTCTGGTGTGTCACCAGAACAATAGATCAGAGGAATCCTGGGGCTGCCCAGCTCCCCTCCCTGCCCCATGCTGAGGCCATTCCACATTTCTTTACTACTTAAAGATCTTGGGTGTGCTTCCTCTTGTGCAGCTGCACAGCTTCACATGACACTGTCTCAGTTCCTGGCAGAGAGGCAGATTCTGCATAAAGTGCAGAGACACAAAAGTGTCTGAGTTGCCAAAACAAATTATGTGAAAAAGCTGGAGGCTTATATGTTAGAAACCCATATGGATGCAGCTTCAGCAGCACTCCACTCCCTAGCACCACTTCTTCTAAATCCTATGCCCAAATTCACTGGGGTTTTTTTTTTGGGAGGGGTGGTGATCAGTATCTATTGTCTAATCAAATTACGACTTAGTCATGATTGGACAGCTATAATATGTGCATCCCTCAAGAGGAACATTAGAGTCAGGTACATATTTAAACTTCTGTTCTAGATTATTATTTGAAGAGCTAAAAAAAGTAATTAAGGTTTCTGGCACATTTTGACCTGCTATAACAACAACAACAACAACGACAACAACAACAACAACAAGGCAAAGACTGGCAAAAGCCAGTAAATTGGTCCCAGTGGTGATTTAGCACACTGGGTGCAGTGCCTAAAGAACCGGCCTGCACTTAAACACAACCGACGCTGACAAAATTACCATCTGTCAGCTGCAAAAGGCCACCCTACTGGGATCGACATGCATTATTCGCTGATACATCACATAGTCCTAGACACTTGGGAAGTGTCCGATGTGTGATCCACTACAGCAATCAGCATAATGATCTTGTTTGCTGTGTAGTAATCTTGTTGTATTTCAAACAACAACTTTATTTTTGTACCCTGCTTCCATCTCCCCAAGGGGACTCAGGGCAGCTTACATGGGGACAAGCCTGAGATGCAACATACTTAAAATATAACAAAAAATTCATAAAAACATTACAACAGTATAAAAACAATCACACATAATAAAAAAAATACCGAACACCTAACAATCTTCAATGGGATGAGTAGTGCATAGTTCTGATTTTGGGTGGGCAACTGGTGCAAATCACTTGCAAAGGATAGTCCTGATGGATAAAGTGCTAAGCATGGTGACAAGGTCAGTACTGGGGGTAATGTAAAGAGAGCACTTTATTTATTTATTTATTTACAACATTTTTATCTCATATCAGCCTGAAGGCAACTCTATATCTTTGGAAGAGAACAGTCGTGAAGTGCCTAAAGATCAAAATTGGGGGACAGAATTATTTGGGGAACAATCTAGTCAAAGGCACAGTGGAACATCCATGTTTTTAGTTCTTTTCGGAAGGTGGATCGGGTGAGCGCTAGTCTAATCTCCCTGGGAAGAGAGTTCCAGAGCCAAGGGGGCCACCGCCGAGAATCCCCCTTCTCTCATCCCCACCCACTGAGCTTGTGATGGGAGTGGGAGTGAGAGGAGGCTCTCCCCAGAACATCTTAGAGATCATGTAGGTTCATAGGGGAAGATGCGGTCACGAAGATAAGTAGGTCCTAAACTGTATAGGGCTTTATAGATGATAACCTGCATCTTGAATTGAGACCGGAAACTTATTGGCAAGCCAATGGAGCTGTTTGACCATGGGGGTTGACCATTCCCTGTAGTTTGCTCCAGTTATCAACCTGGCTGCTGATCTTTGCACTAACTGCAGTCTCTGAGCCGTCTTCAAGGGCAGCCCTACATAGAGTGCATTGCAGTAATCCAACCTGGAGGTAACTAAGGCGTGGACCACCATAGTCAAGTCAGACTTTTTGAGGTGTGGCCGCAGCTGGCACACAAATCTCAATTGCACGAAGGCCCTTCCGGCCACCGCTGACACCTGAGCACCAAGCGTAAGCTCTGAGTCCAGTAACACCCCCAGACTGCGGACCTGTGTCTTTAGGGAGAGTGTAACCCCATCAAGCACAGGTTGCACCCTATATTCCGATCCATCAGGTGACTGACCTGGAGGACCTCTGTCTTGTCAGGTTAAGTTTCAGCTTGTTGGCCCTCATCCAGCCCATCACAGCAACCAGGCACTGGTCCAGGATCCAAGGGGCTTCCTTGGCATTTTGTGGAAAGGAGTAGTAGAGTTGAGTGTCACCTGCATAGAAATTTAGCACCGAACTCTGAAATTTACAATTATTTCTTATGTGAAGCATCAATATGCATGGTACCTCCTTTTGGTTTTTGTTTGGTGAATAGGATTCTTGATGTACTCTTCTGATTTTTAACAAATAACAGATTTGTGATTTTTAAATTAGCTATTAGCTTCAGAGTTTGGAATTCTAGTGAGATTTCTATTTTTTATAATTTGCAAAATCGACGAGCTTTCCCTACCTAGCCCAGTTTATTTTATTTCTGCATTATGATCCATACATACTTTTTTCTAATATTGTCCATTCATCATATAGCTTCACTGCCTTCTATTTTGCAGGTCGCAGTATCAATGTGAAATCAGCTGGCCTTATAGGAAGACATGGCCCTCAGTCAAAGCAGCCATTCATGGTGGCATTCTTCAAAGCAAGCGAAGTCCTTCTTCGATCCGTTCGAGCTGCCAACAATAAAAAGAAAAACCAGAACCGCAACAAATCCAGCAGTCCTCAGGATTCTTCAAGAATATCAAGTGTTGCAGGTAAGGAAGTGGGTTCACATTTGTTGAGAGAACTATACCTCCTTGTGCCTAAAAATAAGCATCTTGGAATTCACATTTTGTGCTGGTGGAATTACAAGCTACTGTGTTAAAAGTTATGCTGTTATTGCACACAAGTCCATCATCAGTGGAGCCTTTGTTGAGAAGCCAGATTAAATATGTCAAATATCTACGGGCCAGCACCAGAAATAGGAAGGTGTTTTTGGTTGTTTTTTTTTGTCTTGTCAGGAGTGACTTGAGAAACTGCAAGTCACTTCTGGTGTGAGAGAATTGTCTGTCTGCAAGGACATTGCCCAGGGGACGCCCAGATATGTTGATGTTTTACCATCTTTGTGGGAGGCTTCTCTCATGTCCTCGCATGAGGAGCTGGAGCTGATAAAGGGAACTCATCCGCACTCTCCCCAGATGCAAATCTGCGACCTGTTTAACCGACTGCGCCATCGAACCCAATAAGAAGGTGATACTGATGGAAGATCTCTCAGAGACAACAGTGGCAACATTATTACTAAAGAAGCTAATACTGCTCAGAAGATGGCAATGGTAAACTCATGCTGAAGACCTTTACCTTGAAAACCTTATGATGAAACAACCCAAAATGAAACAGACGATAGTGCTGGAACATGAGACTCCCAGCCCAAAATGTGGGGAAACAAAGGACACGTAACATTGGGTCTAATGATGCAACTACGTAGGAGTCAAAAGAACGTTCAGCTGCTGAAATACACAAAAGTGAAAGGAAAGGCTGAAGCTGCACACTGTGTGAGAATTGAGAAGCATAGATCAGGGGATGCTAGGAATATAAATCAAGAAAGGAAACACAGAGATATTGGGCATACTTGCTGAGAATGAGTAAAAAGGGACAGGAATTGGATATTTTCGATCAGATAATTACATGGTATTTTATTCTAATACTGAAAATAAAAAAAATGGAGAAGCATTAATAGTGAGATAAGATATAGTAGAAATAGTCAGGAGTGCAATGTAAAGTTTGACCAAATAATATCCATAAGACATCAAGAAAAACTATCGATATAATCATGAGCCAAGTTTATGCACTCATCACAGATGATTATGATGAAGAGTATACTCATACGCCCCTGTTTTCCAAAGTATACTCATAGGTCCTGTTTTCCAAGGTCTGTTGTTCTCACGTAATTGCTTTCCCCCATCATTTTCTTTATTGTGTCAGAAGCGAATTGGGGGTACAGTTATAATGCATTTAAAAACACAAGCAAAGTTTTTTTTAATGCCATTATGCTAAATGTCTTTTGACCAGAAGCTGGCCACTTGGAATGCCTCTGGTGTCATTGTGAGAAGGTCCTCCATTGTGCATGTGGCAGGGCTCAGGTTGCATTGTAGGAGGTGGTTTGCTCTTCTCCACACTCTCATGTTGTGGACTCCACTTTGTAGCCCCATTTCTGACTCAGTTTGAGTCTATGTCAGGGGTCCTCAGACTTTTTAAACAGAGGGCCAGGTCACAGTCCCTCAAACTGTTGGAGGGGTGGATTATAAATTGAAAAAAACATGAATGAATTCCTATGCACACTGCACATATTTTATTTGTAGTGCAAAACCCACTTAAAACAATACAATAATTAAAATGAAGAACAATTTTAACAAATATAAAATCATTAGTATTTCAGTGGGAAGTGTGGGACTATTTTTGGGTGATGAGATAGGATTGTTGTTGTTGTTGTTGTTGTTGCATGCTTTCAAGTTGTTTCAGACTTAGGTTGACCCTGAGCGAGGGCTGGGTAAATGACCTTGGAAGGCCGCATCCGGCCCCCGGGCCTTAGTTTGAGGACCCCTGGTCTATGTGGTTATTTCTAACGGGAAAGTTGAAAGAGGATGATCATCTACATTCTCTGTATTGGATGTACTCGAAAGTTTGACCCTGAATGCCAAGGTTTGATTGTTTGGTCTTACATTTTGCATGCCTGATATGGGACAATCACAAACTATTAGCTTTTTTTAAAAAAGTAGCAAGAGCAAAGTAATTGCTAAGGTTTGAATAATAGGCATACCTCTATGACACACCTATTTGGATTGCATTTCACTTTTGCTGATATTTGTGGTTGAGTTATTTCCTACCCCAGATTTTGAGGTATTTAAAGATGGCAGCCCTATCTCCACTTACTAGGAAATAAGCTGTTTCCATTCAATTGAAAGGGATTTATTTCAGAGTTGGTATGTATAATACTTAATGTTAATATCCTTCTGTCAGATTTTCTCTATTATTATTACAGAACTCCCACTGTAGACAGCATTTGCCTTAAAAATACTTCATATGTGAAATAGGAAATATCTTGAAAGTTTACTCAAATAACAAGAGGTTAAATACTGAATTTAGAAATGTAGAAGTATTTCATACAATGCACTTCTTTTCTTTTTCCAGATTACAACACAAGTGAGCAGAAACAAGCCTGTAAAAAACATGAACTCTATGTGAGCTTCCGAGACCTTGGGTGGCAGGTAGGGGCAATATTAAATCCTATTTTTCTTATTGATTTCACAGTCTTCCAGATGTTAATCACTAGAGTTTTGGACCATTAGAAATTCTATCCAAGAATCTGGGAGGAACTTGAGTACTGACGGATAATATAGCACGTTCTGATAGTGTTACTTTCTGTAATTGTGGTCATGTCATTATGTTTTAATGGTGGTGGGATTGCTTGTTCCCATTGGACAAGAGGCTAGACTTAAAATAGCATTGCTACTAAGAAGGTCTCCCAAATTAAACAAGCTTTTGCAGAGAAACAAGAGTAAATGTGTATGTGTGTTGGAAGAGGGTTGCATTAAATATGTGGTGAAACATAAAAATAAATCCTATACTGATTGGTTATTGCCCTGTTCAACAAGAACAACCTCAAACATTGGAGCTCCTAGATATAGACAAAAATAGTATATAGATCTTTTGCTTGTTAACTAGCATGAGAAACTGTGAACAAGAAGAAACTATTACAGAATAAAAGTAAAGCCCTAACGCTGGCATATAATGCATTGCATTATATGTCAGTGTAGATAGAGCCTAAAACTCTATAGATTCTAACTTGTGGTTAAAATCCGGAAAGGGGGTGGGATCAACTTTGCCAGGAGAGGGATACATGTGATTAACCATGTGTACTCTTACATTTTGTGGTGGGTAAAGTAATCCTATCAAAGGTCCATCTCTGAGACCCTTTCACACAATCCTAATGCTATCATTCCATTTTAACTGCTATGGAAACTTTTTAGAAAATGAAGAACCATCACAAGGATGGAGAAATTCACTTTTTTGTAGACTAGCTATAATCTTTCAAGTTACATTTATAGGTTTAGTAAGTCAAAACCTAATAGTTAATCCCAACTAGAACAGGTTAATTGCTTCAGTGGAACTTTCGTGACTGCTTATTTATTGCCCCCCCCCCCTTGATTCATGGCCCTATAGCCCGAAAAAACCCACAAGAACCTAATAATAATAATAATAATAATAATAATAATAATAATAATTCATAATAATTCATAATAATAATAATAATAATCATCATCATCATCATCATCATATTTCCTCGAGACAGGGCACAACATCGTTAAAAACACATAATCATAAAGCATATAATATATATATATATATTAAGAAATATTTCTATGAAATACATATATTAAAATACACAGAACAAAGATTAAAATACAGGAAACACAAGACATAAGTTTAAAATTCATAGTAAAAATTTGACTAGATAGATAGATATTGAATATGTGCAATGACTGACTACTGGAATGACCCTGGATTATGATTGTGGATGGTGTGGTTTTAATAGTGAATGTCATGTTTATTAATGTTTTAATGTGTATTAATTCTTATTTTTATTTTTATTGTATGTTGTTTTAAAGTGTTGAATAGTTGCATACATGTAAAGCTTCCTCGAGTCCCCTTCAGGGTTGAGAAAGGCGGGGTATAAACAGTTAGGCTTTCAATTGACTCCTAAATTCCGACAGCTGATTTACTTGCATTGAACCCCTCAGATTAATGCAGTAGTTAATTAGGCATGGGCAATCCATGGTTCTTAATGGTTCTAAAGTACTTACAAAAAAAGGGGGCCCTGGTGGTTTGCTTCTACAGTGTTGCTGAAGTTCTGGCGGTGAAAATTTCAGAACTCTAACAAAACTTTCAAAATTTCATTATAAATGGCAGTTCCTAATTGGTTCTGTCATAAAAATCACCAATAACGAAATAATAATGACATTTTGAAAGTTTTGTTAGCGTTCTGAAATTTTCACCAACAGAACTTTAGCAACACTTTAGAAGCAAAGCACTAGTTTTAGCAATACTTTAGAAGCAAAGCATGAGCGCCCTCTAGTTTTGTAAGTACTTTAGAACCATTTAGAACCATGGATTGGCCATGCCTAGTAGTTATGCAGTTATGGCTGCACTTAATGAAGAAAGAAAATCTATGAGTCAGAAGACTTTGTCATATGTCATCTACTGTTTCTTCTTGTTTAGTTGTCAGTATTGACATAATAATATGAGGAAACATAAAGCAGTTTCCCATATTCACTACTAACTTTCTAAAAACCATGCCCTGCAACACTGCACAAATGACCATCTTTCCAGGCTACAGCTCCTGCAGTATATCTAGTTTACATCTCTGACTGCAGCTCATTGGTCATATGTAATCCTAAACACTACCACCTATAGAAATTGAAAGAGTGGTGTTGAAAGCGGCAAATCATTTCAGAGCAAAGGGGAAGTTCAGCTCTAGGAATGGAAGGCCAAGAAATACATTGGGTTTGCCTTTCCCTATGAAAACATCTATTTTGCACCTCCAAGGACCGACAGTGGGGAAAAGCACCCCTCATCTGGAAAATCTGCACATTTGCAGGTTTGTAGTGAATACAAAATAACCAGTACAGAATCATGCTTATTTCTGAAAATTCTGCATGATTCAAACTATATATATTTGAAAAATGTGTAGAAGCACATTTTCATCAATGGATAAAATGTATTAAAATGCATACATTAAAGAAAATGCATTAAACATATGTATCTTAGGAAAAATGCACACCTATTTCTGTGTAAATTTTTTAAAGTCCCACAACACAGGGATGGATCAAGAAATGCTAATGGGATCCTTCTAACTGAAAATGAATAATCTTTTTCAAAATGACTGATCAGTTCATGCACATTCATCTATTGATTTCTACCCAGAATCTAAAAAAACTATGTGTAGGTGGAGTTCAGTTTTCAGTGATTTTTTATGTATTCTGGATATTTTCAACTTCTTAACACAAACTAGTGTGGCTTTTCTGCAGGATGTTTTTGACTTTGCATTTTTAAATATTCTGTGTTTACTTTTAGGATTGGATCATAGCTCCAGAAGGTTATGCTGCATTTTATTGTGATGGAGAGTGTTCATTTCCTCTCAATGCCCATATGAATGCTACAAATCATGCAATAGTTCAGACTCTGGTATGTATGTGTTTCCAAATATTTCAGGAAAATTAGGTTAAGAATTAATGAATGAGCAGAGCAGATTATTAATCCCATTGATTTCCATAGGATTTCACTTAAACCTGTCAAGTTTTGACACATTTTTCTTGTCTCTCTTATGAAAAAGACACAAGAGAAGCATGTAAATATCCAACTTTAGTAGGTTGTTTTGTTTTTTAAAATGAACCTTTCTTCTTTGCAGCAGTTTTTATAAAAGAATATATACATATGCATACATATATGTGCGTGTATATATATACACACACACACATTATACTAGCATTCCTTGTCAAACAGAAACAAACCAGATGTTCTTAATACCATAAGAGAGTCTTTGAATAGTGTTTTACTCCTAAGTTGCTATAATTTTGGCAATGGCTTTTTATTCATTTGTCTCAGCGCTACCTACTGTACTTTCATCAATGTATTCTATAACACTTTATGCCAAAACTGTACATATCTGCACTTCCCTTAGGGTACAGCCATTAACAGATTGTGTAGCTCTATTTTGATCTCTTACCCAGCACAATTGTGAAATAGAGTGATCAATTGTGTATTTTCAAAAGCCAATAGGAAATTTACCTCCCCCTTCAAGAACACCTATTTGCTGGGATACCTTCATATGATATGCAAATAATTGTCATACAGTCCTCACGCTCATGACAACAAAACAAAACAATAAAACATGTCTGGCACAACCTCATTACATGTTGTTTGGTCCTCATTCTGGAATTTTACAATTTATATGTATGTACTAGAGGTATGCAATTTTTTATTAGTTCTCATAAGTCGCATTGTTAAATACGTACTTACGACATAATATCTGACATGTGGCCGTGGCCCACCCCAAAAAATTAAGAACCAAAACTTACCAAATACTTTTTCATTTGCATTTTGTAAATCTTGGAAGCCTCCCAAAGTTAGTTTGATTTTCAATGCAAGGAAGTAAAGCAAAGCCAAAAAGGCTACCATTCCTCTTTGAATTAATGGCCTCGCCATTAGGAGAAAGAAGTAGCAGGGAGAAAGCAGAGTTCACTGGGAAAGAAAGCACAGAATCCTGGGAAATGTAATTTGCGAAGGTGAGGGGCCCTATGCCAGAGAATTCAAAATGCCCTGCCCTAAACTACATTTCCCAGAATTCTGCTTGCGCCAGAAAGCCCCAATTGGGAAAAAGATTTGTCTCTCAGTAGCAGCAGCCAGCCAGAGTTCCAATAAATTATTGAATCTGCAAAGAGGAAGGCTGACCGATACTAAGTAAATCTCTGTTTTGGACTGGGAAGAAATCCTTAAATGGAAATTCTATTGATTAATATGAGAGTAATTCGATAAGATAGCTGTTGTGGCTTAAAAAACATTTTTGTCAAAACTTAAATAAAATCCTAAAATTAGTAGTTGTATGAATATTTCTGAAAGTTGGGAGGAATGATCCCCTGCTATCTTGTGTCATTTTATAGAAAATTCGTGGAGATAGCTCTTGTAGTGTTTTTTAAATGTTGTTTTAAAAAACTTCGAAAATTCCCCAGAACTTCGTGGAGAAGTGAAACACTCTGAAACTTGATGGGCAAATAGTGGTAAATGTGTTCTACCATTGTAGCACGTTTCACCCCAATAACTGTAACAACGGGTAGGAAAGAAGCCCCTTGTCATGGTGCCAGGGTTCTGTCGGTATTCAGGCAGAGGTGAATCAAACAAACATCCAGTTTGTATCAAAAAGTTTAATTAGAGCAGCACTTACTTTCTGGATATATTAATAGTCCAAAATATAAAACATAAAGATAGCACTTAGCCACAGAATATAAAACAAAAACTGATAGCAAATGCTTCACTGTAGTCAAAGGTCCAGTCCAGTGGTCAAATGCCAAGAGTTCAATTAGCAAAGTCCAGGGATCAAGAGTCTATACCGTAGTCAAAAGCCAGTTCAAAGATTCAAGGTTCCAAGGGGTCAAGAGACAGGTCAGGACACCAAAAATCCAGAAACCTGGGGGAAAACCAGCAGTATCTAACACCAAAATAGCACAAATACTTTTCCCCTCAAAGATCAGCCCCAAGGTTAGCTCTTTAAATCCAGTAACATCCAGCTGCAACCCATCCTTTGCATGCCTCTACCCTTAATTGCTTTTACCTGTAAACTGTTACTTACAAATTACTTAGCCCTTTAAAACTAAGGCTTACATTAACCCTTCCATCACCAACTGCTAGGACTTCCACCACAAACCACCATCAACTGTGGGACATGATACATGACACCCCTGAAGTAATTATGTGCAATTACTATAATAAAGTAACAAAATTGTGTTACTCTTGTTATAGTAACAACATTTTCACTAACTATACTTTAGAAATTAAATGCCAGTGCCCCCTAATTTTTTTTTAACAATTGCAGGTGACTATTTTATCCAATATAGCAAGTCTGGTTTTGTTTTTTTTAAATCACACAAACCCTACAACCATTCCTTTCCAAGAAAGATGCAGGGAAGGGCTGAGTTTGGAAAACATTTTTTTCAAACCTAAGTAATCCTGAGTATATTATTTTAAAATTTAAAATTAATTAGATTAATTTTAATCTGGGGATAGCCCCAAACTAACTATATGAGTTGTTCTTCCATACCTGTCTGAGAGCTGGTGCCACCAATTTTAACTTTCAGTGTTGAGAATGCCAAATAGATATGTTGCTTATGCAACACACACACACACAATCAATAAAATAAAATGTATTTGGGATTTCCCCCCTCTATTTCTAAGTAGTCGTGTGTATATGTTTACAAGCCACCAATAGACTTATGGTGACCCCAAACATTTCATGGGGGGCGATTATAAGAAATGTTTCTCAAGTCACTCCTGACACCAAAAAACAAACAAACCAAAAAACAAAAACTAAAAAAGAAAAGGATACTCAAAGTCATTTTGCCAGTTCCATCCTCTGAAATGCAACCTACAGCAACTGGTATTCATTGGCAGTCTCACATGCAAGGACAAACCAGGGCTGACATTGCTTAGCTCCCAAGATCAGATAGGAATTGGTGCTTTTGTAATATTTAGGCTTGATTTTTATGCAACCAGTGGCGCAGTGGGTTAAAGCATTAAGCTGCTAAAGTTGCTGACCAAAAGGTCGCAGATTCGAATCCGGAGTGGCATGACCTCCCGTTGTTAGCCCCAGCTTCTGCCAACCTAGCAGTTCAAAAACATGCCAATGTTAAGTAGATCAATAGGTACCGCTCCGGTGGGAAGGTAACGGTGCTCCATGCAGTCATGCCGGCCACATGACCTTGGAGGCGTCTATGAACAGCTCCGACTCTTTGGCTTAAAAATGGAGATGAGCACCAACCCCCCAGAGTCGAACACGACTGGACTTTACCTTTACCTTTACCTTTTATGAAACCAATTATTTACATAATTAAAAATTATTCAGCAAATAAATAGGTTTACAGTGGAATCAATGATAGGCAAATTCTCCTTAGCTTTATTTGAGGGAGAGGCTGCAAACATGTTTTACACAGGGGAATGCTTTTTTTTTTTTTGGCAGAAGTGGGGTTATTGATTTTTCCTCTTTTTCCCAGCCAATCTTCCCGAGACAAACAGATGATTTTGAAATTTCTTTTTTTCACCACTTATTTTGTTTACCTCTACAACACCCTGTTGGCTGAGTCTTCCTTCCTGAAGAACCCGCTGTCATCTTAAGCTGGTTCTACACCATAGAATTAATGCATTTTGACTCCACTTGAACTGCCTTGGCTCAAGGTTATGAAATTCTTGGAGTTGTACTTTGGTGAGACACTGGCACTCTTTGACAAAGAAGGTTGAGTTAAAGACCTTCTAAAACTACACCTTCTATTATTCCATAGCATTGAGCCATGACAGTCAAAATGGCATCAAACTGCATTAATTCTATAGTGCAGAGCCAACCTTACAGAACACATAAAACACTTCTTTAAATAAGTGCCCATTCCTTGAATTTAAGGCTTCTGAGGACTATCTTATACAAAACCTAAAGAAGTCCCTACTACTTACGATTACACCAAAACTTTTAATAACAGAAACCACATTTTAAAGGAAAAATCCGATGCCTTTATGGTATGTAACCAGTGATGATGTGAGTAGGGCTGAGTATGAATTAATCCCTAGGTACAGATTATCATACTAAAATAAAATTATATTTATTTCAGGAAATCAGCGTTTACAGGCATTTTAGGTACTTCCAGATGGACTGTTCCTAGCTCTACCCAATCACTGCTATTGTGCTCTAAGCGACAAGTGGGAATAGCAGCAATTGAGTTTCTGCATGCATTGTGTATTTAAGACATCATCTCACCTTGTGGACATGCGATAGCATCTGCATTGACTAATGGAGCCAAACAGGAAATTGAGTGTCAATTTAGCTAACAAGTCATGATTATTATTTTTTAAAGGAATTTTTTTTATTCACACTGGCTCATAAATCTTAGTAACAAGGTTGTTTCTCAGAAATTTGAAGGTTTCCCAAATATAATTTGCATGCACTTTTAAACCTTTGCCTCATTTTCTTGCTAGCTACGGTCAATTTCCATGAATAAGAATGCACATTACCGCAGAGATTTCCGAATTGTGTGTCACAATACGTTAGCTGCAGCATGTTGGCATGTCTCATGAACGTAATGAGAAACCTCTAGGTCTGTGTGAAATAAACAATAAATCATATATATTTAAAGTTTTCATAACATATGTTGTATCTCCATACATGTTGTTACTATGATTTGTGGGTCCGTCCATCCATATCTCTTATAAGGAGTTGGGTTGCTAATAAAACTGAATTACTTTGTTGTGATATGATGCAAATCTAAAAAGTGTGTCTCCACCATGAAATGCTCTGGAAACTCTGCCTTAGTGTGTACTTGTTTTGTTATGGAATTTCCTGAGTCAGTTGTATTTGATCTAACAACTTGTTCTGTTAATTTAATTCTACAGTTAGACTTAATAAAAGATAAAATTAATCAGCTTTTGAGCAGGTTGCAAAAGCATTTTGTCCAGTTGTCCTCATTGCGCTCAGATGTCAAAGTATCCAATATAAGAGAAACATTCTTAAATTATAAGTAAAAAATGAATTTCTGGTCAAAGGGACGACTCTCAGGCATTACTCACAGGGAAAATGTGTAGTGTAAGCCCTAGATGTAAACTTTCACTACTTTCATTTTTGTAAGAAGCAGTGAGTAATTTTAGTAAAATTCCTTTCTCTTGCAAAAAAAAAAAAATCAAAATCTGTTCACAATTGGAAACTTATTTTGCACAAAATTTACAGAAAACAGCATTTTTTGTGCAGAAAATGTTTATTGAACAAGACACATTTTGCTCAAATCAAGTCTGTTATAACAGTATTTCCTGTGGAAAAAAAAAACCTTTTGTCACAGAAAATATTTTTTGACAGATATGTTTATTTTTGACAAAATGTGTTGTTTTCTGCACTAAACAACTAAATGCAAATTAACCCCAAACTGTGAAGAGTCTTACCAGCCCAGATTCCTTTCAGTATCTGTATCTGAGTATCCTTTCCATACCTAGCCTGGAGCCCCCGGTGGCACAATGTGTTAAATGCTTGTGCCGGCAGGACTGAAGACCAACAGGTCGGAGGTTTGAATCTGGGGAGAGCGCGGATGAGCTCCTTCTGACAGCTCCGGCTCCCCATGCGGGGACATGGGAGAAGCCTCCCACAAGGATGGTAAAACATCAAAACATCCAGACATCCCCTGGGCAATGTCCTTGCAGACGGCCAATTCGGTCACACCAGAAGCGACTTCCAGTTTCTCAAGTTGCTCCTGACATGAAAAAACAAAAAACAAAACAAAACCCTAGCCTAAGCACATCCTTTCTCAGACTTCTGCAACATATTACCAACATATATTCTTTTTAATGTTCTATCTTCAGAGAGCCTGGCTGAGAAATTACCAAATAAATTACAAAACAAAAATTGTGCTTTCCAGTGTTGGAAATGGGAAGCTTGTGGTTGTCCAAAATAAAACTGGACTTGTGCATTCTCAACATTTCTCCTCACCTTTATTAAATAACCTCAGAAATGTGCTTAAAGTTTTACTAGGTTTTGTGTGTGTTTTTAGGATTTATGGTTGTTTGAAAAAAACATCTCTTTGGGGTAAATGGTCTCTTCATGGTAAGAGTTGTATGAAAACTCTTTCCCAGTTGCCTGCTTTGTGTTCTCTGGCAAATACTACAGGCTTATATTGCTGCTGGGCAGATAGCTATAGCAGACTTTTAACAGTCTTACCAAACAAATGAAACTTATTATTTCTGAAGCTTTTATTCAGGCTTTAATAATCTCTTTGTCCTTTCTGTTACTACTCCCTCCTCTATGGCCTCCTGCTTGATTTCCAACTCGCCCAACATGTGCAGAATATTACATCTAACTGATTTTCAAGCAGGAAGGCCCTGTGTTTCCCTCGTTCTCAAATTTCTCAACTATTTTCCTCATACCTTGCCTCCCTTACAGTTATCCTAGGCTTTCTCTACACCATAGAATTACTACACCATTTTAACAGCCTTGGCTCAATGCTATGGGAATTGTAATTTGGTGAGACACCAGCTCTCTTTGGCAGATAATACGTGGTTTTGTGTCCTCTGCACTTGGGGGATATGAAGTCCAGTTCTGTATCACAGTTATTTAGCTTGAGTTAAATCCCATATTCCTTGAACTGCTGAAAGCAGGCACTTCTCAACCAATCCCCAAATTTTAGGTGCACGGCAAAATGTTCTTACAAGCCACATACTTGGGGTTTGCTTGCTGGGATTTTGGCTGGCATGTTGAAACTCTTTTTCTATCTTGCCAATCAAACCAAGTAGTCTCAATTGTACCTCATGTACATACTACTTTTATGGTCATCTGTAGAACTGAGAATGGGAAAAGTGAGTATCAGCTATGCACACAACAGACAGAACTGGAATATTTAATAGTGCTGTCCATCTTTTAAGCACTCTTCTTTCAGCTTTATTGATAGATGAGAGAGTTACAAGCCTTTTAAGAAGATGAGGACCTTGTGTGATAGTTCTAAGCTCCCATTAGTTTTCTAATCTTGTGGAAACATGGAACTCTTGCAAGTGGTCTCCCTCTCAAAATACTTGAGACAGGCTTTATATATATATATATATATATATATATAGAGAGAGAGAGAGAGAGAGAGAGAGAGAGAGAGTCCAGGTTATTTGAAGGACCATATCTCTCTTTAGGGACTTATTAGACCACTATGATCATCAAGCACATTTGGTGGGAACAAGGGAGAAAGGGCCTTTTTGGTGGCTGCTCCCAGACTTTTGACAAATTTCTGCCATCAGGCATTTATAAATGGGCACTGTGATTTTATTCTATCTATCTATCTATCTATCTATCTATCTATCTATCTATCTATCTATCATCTATCTATACACACACACACACACACACAAGTTCATGGCTGAGTGAGGACTTAGTCCAGGTCTCCTTTCTCCAGTCTAACATTTGATCTAACTATCTAAAATTAGTCTCTCAAGTCAGTTTTGTCACTTTTTTCTTTCTTACTATGTCAACAGATTACGATTGCATGAAACATATTCCAGCTGCATGAAACATTCTCTTTCCTAACATTTCACGAATCTAACGAAGTGGGCCCCGGTCCATGAAGGCTTGACAAGAAGCACGTTAATCTTTAAGAAGCCACAGAACTATTTTTGTGTGTTCGCTACCTTCCCGTATTACACGGTGGCTAAACAAAAACAAAACGGATAGCACTTTACTGTGTGAAATACAAAAAGCACACTATTTTTGCAATGTAATGTCAGTGCAAGTAGAAAATGCACATATTGTCTTATTGGCAGTGGAAATAATTCTATGAAAAAAGGCTTCACTTATCCCATTTCTGCTTTTCAGGTCCATCTGATGTTCCCAGATCATGTGCCCAAGCCTTGCTGCGCTCCAACAAAACTGAATGCTATCTCCGTGCTCTACTTTGATGACAGTTCAAACGTTATTTTGAAAAAATATAGGAATATGGTGGTACGGTCATGTGGTTGCCACTAGCCCCGGTATTTAAATCAGAAGAGATTCAAGACCAGCATTTTAGCAGAGCTATGCAAAATGTCTTGTCAGATATGCCACTGTATTTGTGAGCAGAGAACTTGGGACCATTTCATTACATTTCTCCAAAGGGAGCAGGGGAGGGGCTAACATCATTGGAGGCAATAGCATGGTTTCTTTCTTTTTACCACAGTTTATTTTCATTTTTGCTGTCTGGACACCATTTTGCATCCTCCACAATGCCCCAAATGTAGCATAGCTTGGGGGGAGGGGGCATGGCGGAGGGATGAAATTGACGTTTACTACAAAATATGAAGAGTCTTTATATTACCAAAGTAATTTCTCCTCCTACTAAAGCAGTGGTTCTCAACCTTCCTAATGGGTTGTTGTAGGTTTTCTGGGCTGTATGGCCATGTTCTCGAAGCAGACGTTTTGCCTGCATCTATGGCAGGCATTCTCAGAGGTTGTGAGGTCCTTCCTAATGCCGTGACCCCTTAATACAGTTCCTCATGTTGTGGTGACCCCCAACCATAAAATTATTAAATTTTGTTACTTCATAACTGTAATTTTGCTACTGTTATGACTCGTAATGTAAATATCTGATATGCAGGGTGTATTTTCATTCACTGGACCAAATTTGGCACAAATACCCAATACACCCAAATTTGAATACTGGTGGGGTTGGGGGGGAAATTGATTTTGTCATTTGGGAGTTGTAGTTGCTGGGATTTACAATCAAAGAGCATTCTGAACTCCACCAACGATGGAATTGAACCAAATTTGGCACACAGAAATTCCATGACCAACAGAAAATACTGGAAGAGTTTGGTGGGCATTGAGCTTGAGTTTTGGAGTTGTAGTTCACCTACATCCAGAGAGCACTGTGGACTCAAACAATGATGGTTATGGACCAAAATTTATACGAATACTCAATATGCCCAAATGTGAACACTGGTGGAGTTTGGGGAAAATAGACCTTGACTTTTGGAGTTGTAGTTCCTGGGATTTAGAGTTCACCTACAACCAGAGAACATTCTGAACCCCACCAATGATAGAATTTGGCCAAACTTCCCACTTTGAACCCCTATGACCAAAAGAAAATACTGTGTTTTCTGATGGTCTTTGGCGACCCCTCTCACACCCCCTTGCAACCCCCCCCCAGGGGTTCTGACCCCCAGGTTGAAGAACGTTGTCCTAAAAAATGAGAAAAAGAAAAAAAAATCAGATTTTTTCTTAGAGTATAACTTCTAAGAAATTTCAACTTACCTTTTAATTTTATAGTATAAATGAAAAATTGCCTCTCCTTTTCTCTCTCTCTGAAAAGTGATTTCCGCATCAAGTTATTCCAGTCTGCCATTTCTCATTTCATGTACAGTATTATGTACATAGTAGCTTTTATTTATTTAAAGATATATAGTTTCTTTTGTATGGATGGCCGTTCAAATGCTTTATTAATATGAGTTTATCTTACTACGTCGTAGAACATTGAAGACAGATTTTCAGTTAATCATGCTGAGATTTTTTTCCATATTTAAAAAATAAGGCCTTTGTACAGTGCTCTCTTTTTTCCTTTTCGAACACAGAAACGCCAGAACTCCTGTGACTGTTTTATATTGTTAAAGGAAATTGAATACATTTGGCTACATTGTGCCAATGAAAACTCTGGCGGGCTATTTATTTAGAAAAGGCACTGAAAAAGGGAGAAAAGATTGCTTAGCTTAACACAATTCTTCTTTTAGAAGTTCAGCTCCATTAGATAAAGTAAGACATTGAATCATGTTTAAATAAATAAATGGTAGTTTAAATGTAGAGCCTGAAAAATTGCACATAATTGTGAGAGCTGTTTTCTTGAGCGTAGCCAGTGTAACAGTAGGAACCATGTTACTTCTCTTTACTCGCGGCTTGCAGATTTTGCTGGAGGCCCATTGCTTGTATCCAGAGTTTGGGATGGGGAGCAATAATACAACATTCTTACCTCACATAAAAACATGCTATTGATCTATTGTCTCTCTAACACGACTATGCTGCAGTGGATTAGTTCCTCTTCATAGACCAAATTAGCCAGACATCTTTCTTGATGAGAGTTAAAAAAACAAACTCTTATGCAATTTTCATAGTGGAATATTTGAATGAAGCAGATGCCCCTTTACCAGCTATTCCTCTTCAATCACTTACATTCCCACCGTGGTGGCGCAATGGCGTTAAACCCTTGTGCCATCTGGACTGCTGACCTGAAGGTTGGGTTGCTGACTTGAATGTTGCTGGTTCAAGTCCGTGAGATGGGGTGAGCTCCCACCTGTCAGCTCTAGCTTGCGGGGACATGAGAGAAACCTCCCACAGGATGGTAACACATCCGGGCATCCCCTGAGCAATGTCTCTGTAGACGGCCAATTTTCTTACACCAGAAGTGACTTGCAATATGTTCTCAAGTTGGTTCTGACATGATAAAAAAAACCTTACATTCCTAGCCTACGGATGTCTAGCCAGATATAATTCCCACTATAGAGCCTACTCCCTTGCATATCATCTCTTCCATGTACAAGTTAAGTCCCAATGAAGTCAAAAGGTCTTAGTTTTGAGTAGATATGTTTAGATTTACACTATATATCCCTCCTGCTAGCATTATTAAATAAGATTTCTCTGTGTGGTACAGGGGTGGATGAGAGAGCACAGGCTATATCAATAATGTAGCCAAGTGTATTGCATTTCAGAAAAATCAATTTATCTCACTTCAGAAGAACATCTGAAATTATGATATTTTATCATCTTGTTAAATTTGTTGAGATACTAAATAAACATGTTTTGCAGAGGGTTTTTTTGGATTACATGATGCATTTCCATTGCTTTTAACTATGTTTAACTTACCACAAAGCCTTGCTTAAATTGCAGTTCATGAACTGTAATGCATATTAATATAGATACCACCAATAAATGTGCTGGTTTGAGAAGAATTTGAGGAATCACAAATGTCTCTTCCTGCGAAGTCTGTTCCAATTTGTTTGGAAATCATTTTTCAAGGAAACTGATTTGTTTGTGAATTAGATAGAAGGTTATGATGTTTGGAACTGAGTTTATTTTAAATAAAGTTTGAAAAATGTATTTTGGGGTACATTAAGTAATATATTTTTGAATAAAGGTGTACCATTTTGAGTGTATGAAATTGAAGATTATATTATTCTTTGAAATGTCCTGTCGGAAGTTAAGTCTATATTTTAAGATCTAATAAACTTGAAATCTTAACTCACTCTGCCATGCCTTTTCTTCCCGGACTGTGCTATATGAAAAGATTGTGTTCACTTTAATAGGAAGGCAAACAATCCCTTCTTGAAAAGGGAGGATTGGATCCAAAGTTTTTTGTTCTTCATGAATGGAGAGTTCTATTCACAGAATTGCTCCTTCTGAGTCCAAATGAAAAAAAAATGGATTAATTTCCAAATAATTATGGCGAGGGGAAGGAAAGTAGTTGAGAACTTTCTAGCTTGCTCTGGGTGGAATACACATAGTGACAGAAAACTAAACCTCATGAAATGTCAACAACCTTTCTACTGTTGTAGAACATTCAATTTACACCAACGACAAAAATTCACTGTAAACAAAGGCAGCTGGGGAGATTTTTAAATGTATTGCCAGTGTTACTATTGCTTCTGTTTGGAAGGGAAGAAAATTGGCACAACGATTTTCCCATGCTCCAGAACCTTGTGTTTCTATATGCCATGGGGATTTTAGTTGTATATGCATCCCGGCATGCCTCTTTCTCACAGTAGCTAATAAAACACTTTCTATGTGTCTGTCAATGTGATGGGGGGAAAAATCTCATATAACATTTCCTTGCAAATCAATAGACAAGGTCCTTATGTTGCCCTGCAAGATTCTTAGGGAAGTTTTCTTGGTCCATTTTAAATTAGTTTAAACTTTCAGGGTCCTTAGAGAACGTGGTGGATTCCTAATTATATTTGGAAAGCAGTTAGCTAAACATGTAATGAACTATAGGAAAACACAGTTCTGGGTGTACTTTGACAGGCAATTCCAAATTACTTAAATCAATATGAGGAGCGCCTAGTGGCGCAGAGGATTAAAGCTCAGAGCTTTTCCAGCAGGTCATTCCATAGTCTTGGGGCGGCCTATGAAAAGGTCCTCTGGGTGACAGTTGCCAGTCAGGCTCTGGCTTGCTGGAGGAACTACCCCCCAGAGAATCTAAACGTCCATGGTGGATTGATACTAAAACAACATTTGCCACTTGTTTTCCAGGTTTAATTCAAAGTGTTGGTTTTCATAAGGTTGGAGCATGTATGTTTAGAAGGCCCTCCTGTTACAGTTGGCTCTGGTTAAGAAAAGGTGTTATGAATTGGTTTAGTTGTTACAATTTTCAGGACAGCTTTGCCAGAGAACATTGTTGCTCACAGTGTTCTGTTTGTCAGACACAAAGGAAAGGACTTTCTCAGATTGTGTAATACGCCCTCCTGTTACAGTTTGCTCTGATTAAGAAAAGGTGTTAAGATCCACCTCTTTAACTTAATCCATTTCAGTTATTTTAGTATGATACATTTTTTATAGAAATTGCATTTTAAATTACCATATACATTGCCTCATTTGATTTCTTTTGCAAAAAGGACAGTATAATAAATAACTAGACTTTTTAAAAAATCTTGTTATTTCATGCATTTCTGCCATTGTCCTGCAGCATTAAGAACAGAATATGTCTCCCTGCACCTCTCCCATTCCAGTCTTCAGAGGCTGACATTGCTTATTTGTGCTCCACAGAGCATGCTATCTGTTTTATTATTTAAGACTAACGGCTCTCTTAGGGACAGCTTTTGCCCAGACACTGCTCAGGAAACTGAACAAAGTCACTTTTTTCCCTTGTCAGGTACTGTTTAAATAAGTCTGTTTTCCTACTTTGCTTCCTCTCCCTTCAGGCCTATTAGGGAAGTTTGTTCAGATTTGCCATCCCTAATATAACTCAGTTCCTAGAGCCTAACTTGGACATGCTGATGTGCACAATACGTTGCCTATGGTCACTGTATGCTTGCTATGAATTACCATGTTGTTGTTTGCCTTCAAGTCATTTCTGACTTAGGGCGAACCTATCAAATGATCTTATTGGCAA